GAACGATGTTACCAGGAAATGATGAGCGGGAACGGTGACTGGAAGGAAGACCAGACAATAGCAGGAGACTGGAAGTGGACCAGTCAAACTGGCACAGATCTAGAGTCATGAAAACACACACACACACACTGGGTGAAAGAAACCATAGTTCCAAGTGGAAATCAAAAACAAACAAAATAAAAACAAACCGTGGTGGGGTTGCCTCCCCACAAGCGCTTCTTTATCGTCGCGAGCCGAACAGTGGCTCCTAAGTTTCGGTCCATGCTAGAACCTCCTTGAAGTTGAGGTTCTTGTCGATGATGTGGGGTCTCAAGTCACGAGCAGGTGGTATGAAAGGTGATGTAGGCTCGTGTACTTGATGAATATGAAGTCTCCACCCGCGAGACTTCTTCTTTTCTTCCTCACTCGTCTCATTTCCCCAAACCATATATGACAGCATCGACCGACCACCATCGCATCCACCAAGAGGGACCGATGTAGATGTGGCCATCTGGCAAAGAGACATTGCAAATGGGTCCTTGCCAAGCAGCTCCTCGAAGTTTGGTGGAGATATCACATGTAACTCATGGTCCGTGCAAGCCTTTTCCACCTCAACTTTATCCTTAGAATGGATGCCAATTGCTTCTTCAACTGCCCTTCCTTCCTCATAATTTGATTCCTCCCTTCGGAAAAGATTAAGGACTTCCTCTAATTCACTTCTGTCATCCTCCACAACTTCTTTCCTCGTCCTTTCTCGCTCTTCTTCTTCTAGCTTGGATTGGAGAGCAAGTCGTCATGCAATCTTTTCAATAAGATCAGCTTGCATCTCCTCACTCATGCCCGCCTCTTCAGCGCTCGGTGTGGGGTGCAGAAAGGGATGGGCGGCTACAACATGACATTTCTGATCATGATCATCATAGGAGCTCTCCGTGACAACTTCTGTATGCTCCACGACATCCTCATGATTGTCTTCTTCCTCCTTCTCTGCTTGTATTGTAGCATAAAGGCTGTCTTGAGAAAACTGTGCACAAGCTTTCTCAATGACCTCTACGTGCTTCTTTATGCTTTGAAGGGTCTCCTCTGTTTCACGGGGAAAGGAGAAGTCAGTTTGGGCCATGGCTTGGATATGAGGATCCATCTCGGGAAAGGATCTCTCAGGTACTTGAGCAATCTGCTCCACGAGAAGCCTCAAGTGATAGTTTTGATCTGGCTGTGGGGTGTAACATGGCTCTGCCGGATGGCCCGGGAAGGCTGTGGCTAAATCAAGATCTGCTGGCCCTTCTAGTTGTGGGAGGAATTCTTCTTGATAATGAGATTGTTCTTGAAATACCCAAGGGTCTGATTGTTCTTCGTAGTAGGGGGGTTGGTACTGAAACCAAACTCCATAGTCTTCTCCTCCTTGGTTGCTGAAGGAAGTCTCGGGATAATACCACTCAGGTGGTGGTGGATACCCCCAATGGTTGGAGAAGCCTTGAGAATCCATGTATCAGATCTGCACCAACAAAAACAAAATACCCAAGTGAAAAGCAAGGGTGGAAAAGAGAGGATGCATAAAATTAAATGCTAAAGTAACAGACTTTCACGTTTCTACAATAACCTAGAGGTCCCCGACAACGGCACCAAAAACTTGACACGCTCAAACACAACCCCAAACTGCGACCAAGTGTAATCGCAGTCTAGAAATGCAGAATAGTGGCAAGTTCTATTTATCAATCCGGGGTCTAGATCTACTGCCTACTCTGTGATTATCTATTATCTAACAGACTAAGTTGAGTGAATGTAATTTTAAGCTAAACTAGTAAGAAAGCAGGAAATGGTTCGAAGTTCTTAAGTAGGGGAAGAGTCACTCGGGAATGAGTCCCTCTAGCTCCTTAGTTAGGTCAAAGTTGTAATTACCTTTGGTTGATTTACTGTTGATTAAACTGTGGAAGATCCGACAGTAGCTTGGAATCTCTTAAGCTAACCAAGCCCTCTCAGACAGACTACCCGACAGACGACTAGTCTTCACCGGGATAGAACGCTGAGGCAATTAACACAGAACTCCGCTACTTGAATTGGATTCCAATACAAAGCAGTGAATCGACTAACTCTCGTATAATCGATTCACTACTACCGATTGAAGAAGCTCTAACAACCTAATCAGATTCTATCCATCTCAGGTTGCAGCAGAAATCAGGAAAAGTTGATCAGGCTTCAATTGACTCAATCAAAACACTTTAATCGATTATAATCAAGCTGTATCACAAACTAAAAGTCATTACAATTAATATCCCTAAGACATGGAACTAGGGTTCTTCATACCCAAGTGAGAGAGGGTTCTACTCCATAGAGAGAGAGAGAGGAAAATAGAAATCAGAGCAGTCATACTCATAAAGATGGGAATAATCTGCTCTAGGATGTCGATCTTCACTCCTAAGGATGCAATCTGGGCTTCAATGGTGAGAAATCCACTCCAAATAGCTCTTACGGTTTGTTCTTCGCACTTTCTCTCTCTAAAACTATGTTTTTGCTCCAAAAAGTCGACTCCCTTTCATTTGGCTCGAATCTGCCTCAAAAACCCGATTCTGGTCGAAATACGGGCAGAAATACGGTCGTAATTCTTCCCTGCCCGTATTTGGCCCAAAACGCGCGTTTTGGTTAAGTCTCAGCGTATCCAAGGCTCCTCTCGGCACTAAAAATACGGGCATGGGAGGGAAAAATACGGTCGTATTTCTCCTGCTCGTATTTCTTCCTCCGCTCCTGTTTAATGCTTCGTTTCTCCCTCAACCGGACTCTGAATCAGCCGTCGTTTGATCCCAGACGCTCGTAGTTCTTTTCATGATAGGATTCCATGATTATCTGTCTATAACATGAGGTAAAAATTCATTCTTCCTCAGGTAATGCTCGAGTTTCTTCTCTCGAATGACCAAACGATCTCCAAAAGACCTGAAACTTGCACCTATGCATCCCTTTATTCGCCAGGACCTGAAATATGACAAAATAACACAACCTAGCGTAAATTAGGCCAAGAGACCACAAATTTGAGCCAAAATGGTTCAGAAACAAGGGTGCAAGCATGTGCAAAAACGACGCTATCAAGAGGTGTTTTGGGGGTGGTAAGTAGTAAGAGATGATCAAGACGCAATAAATCTATCCGAACCCCAAACACATCCTCGAATGGCACTCCGGGCCAAGAGAACAATCCTTTGACGGTTGATCTCAATTCTTTGCTCGGTTGCCACTCACGTGAGAACCTCTTTCTCTTTTTCTTAAGCACACCTTTTTAAAAGTTCCTAGTTCACACATTAAAGAGAATCTCTCACACACTGCCTTCCTAAGGTAGCAAACATTATCAACTCACAAAAGAGGAGGAAGATAGTAAAATTACCCACACACCGGTAACTATCCCTTAGAGAATAAAGCACATCAAACATCTAACGAATAAAAGCATATTGATTAGGGGGTTGCAAGAAACAAGGTGTTTTGGAACCCTCAAATTTGAAAAAAATTGGTGGTGCATTCAAGGTTCCAAAACACACTCATGTTAGCCTTTTGAATACAACAACCTATTCAATCGATCAATTGTCTTCGCACAAGCAACCATGAGCATTTTACATTCATAATTTAGGGAATAGATTAATCGAAATGGAAACCGATGTGAACCAATTTAAAATAATGCAATCCATCCCCCCTCCCCCCCCCCCCCCCCCCCCCCCCCCCCCACCTACACACTCTTGAGAGACACATTGTCCTCAATGTGGGAATTCTAGGTTAGAATTACAAAAAGTTACCATTTGGGAATGTTGTATTCAGGGAGAAAGATGGGGCACAAATGTGTAGGTTCTCTGCGATCAAAAGATAATGGAGCACAAAACCAAACATGGAAAGGAGAAAAGAGTCATTAAGATTTATGAGAGAAAGCACGTAGTAGTGAAAAAAAAAATCTAAAATAAAACAACTAAGATAGGTAGCAAAGGAAAATTAAACACACCAAAAGCTCATATTCGAAACAAAAAGTACTGAAAACGAAATCATCGATAGTCCAAGCTAGGAAGGAAGAAGATAGAGAATGGCCTTGTAGTGCCATCTAGAACACGAGGCTACTACTCATCTGAACTCTCATCATCGCCATCCTCTTCCACAAGACCACAACGGTGTAGGGTCGCGGCGAAGGAGTGCACTCGAAAGGGTGAGGAACCGTAGCTGGTTCCAAGCCATTCTTCTTCATCAAGCATACGCATAGTCGAGCATATGGTTCCTCCACTCTGCATCCCTCTATTGGTTCCTCGGAATGGTCTCTAGATCAGCAAAGGATGTCTGGGCGTCTCCGGCATAAGATGTCTGAGGATGGTTGGACTTCCCGGCGTGGAAGCTACGGCGAGTCGGACCTGATGAAGATGAGCTATGCCTCCTCCCACTGGGACGATCGGGGAGAGTGCGACTAACTCCCTCTACAATCACCGTGTTGTTCTCCAAGAACTCTAGGCCCCAAACACCCTTGATACCTTCCTCATTCTGCTCTAGAGTCTTCAAATAGGTCTTCAGATGTGAAAACGGAACTAGAACCGTGTAAGTATCCAACTTACTCTCGGCTGCAATCACATCAACCCCGAGGTATCTAACGATCCTGGTGATGTAGGCTCCTCCATGCAAAGCCTGAAGTCTCTTGTCTGGCCCATGGCGAGAAAGAGTATGCAGAATGGCTCAGCCCGGGTGAAGACGGACGTCGCTGTGCATGCTCCACATGAAGGTCACATCTCTAGCTGTGAGGTTTCCCTTGCTCCCGTGCTTCCCGCAAATTGAGCGAGAAATGACATGATGAATGAGCCGGAACACAGGTTAAACCCCACTCCCCATCGACAACTTCACATCCCAGGGTCGGCAGCCAGAGATCTTCATGACGTTCTCATAGAAGTCATGAGGAAAGTGAAGCTCAACTTCCGCCTTCAAAGAGATGTAGGAGTCACAGTCGGTGATGAACTCCGGAGGGTAGATGTCGAGAGAGAAACTGAACTCTCTCATCGTCATCTGCCTCTCGACACCTCACTAACTGAAGTTGATTAATGGGGTTGTCCTCTAAAGCAGCTTCCTTGACAAATTTGGTCCGTAGGGTGCAAAGGAACTCTAGTGTGAGGACTCTGTAAACCCTCTCATTGATCTCCAGAACCCTGCGCCACACCGGGTCTCTGATCCGATCTGCCACTCTCAACTGAGCAAAAAGTACATAGTTGAGGCACTCACTCTCCCCTGTAGTCATCCCCTGGAAGCGCTGGAGATGCTCTCTAGAGAGGAATGGGATGGCTCGGAGGAATTCGTGATCCACATGGGGCATCACTTCCCTCAGAGCTCTCGTCTGGGCTGTCGGGGTTGCTTCTCAACCTCTTCCTGTTCCTGAAGCTCGGGGTCTGAATGATGTTGAGGCTCCTCCTGTCTTGGAGTAGGCTCAACTGGGGCAGCCCGCCGGTCCCTTCGCCGGTTCCTCCTGAAGTACTGAATGAAGCCCGAGAAGGGGGACCATCTCTCTTGGGGATCAGAACCCTCTCCTCTATCATTTTCCCTGAAAATCTAGAGTACATTTAAAACAAGGTGGCAAAACAGTTCCAGCATACAAGGAGTTCTACCTCCACACTTGGTAGAAAAAGTGTGTCTGAAGGTGAAAAATAGGGTTCGAAAGATAAACTTTTCGGCTAAAACAAGGGAAAGTAAAACTGTAGTGTCTTAATATGAGTTAAAATGAAAGCATCTACAGTTAAAAATAACCAGAAATTGAGCCTAACCTGGGGTTTAAACATAATTAACGTTGAGAATGAGGTATGCAATCAACAAATTTCGAAAGGGAGTGTGGTTCGGGCAGATTATCGACCACTTGGTGGGCAAAATTTTCAAAATCCAAACATCCAATCGCACACAAATGGCCACCAAGGCCTCCGAATCCATTCACCTTAACTAAAGCAAGCATACATTGCATCTCATACACCAAGCAATCAAAGAAACAACCTCATTTCCCAAAAAGTTTGAGAAAAAACCCGAGGTCTTCCTCTCTTTCCTAATTCAACGCCCGCATGATGCAAAAACAGTAAGATTGGGTGAAAACTTACCTTGAGCTACTTGCAAACATGATTAGAAGCTCAAAACCTGGATTAGATGAAGGAGAAACAAAGAAATCAGACTTTGGGGAAGTAATTTCGAGTTCCCTGCCTCCTAGCTCAAGTTCTAGGTCAGGAAAATCGAAAATTTTGGGGGAAATGAGTTATGGCCCGAGCAGCACCCGCGATTGTCCTTTTGTGGACGTAGACAATATTTGGGGCTAGGGGAAAAGATCCCGGTCAAGATCATTTTGCCACAGGACACGATCTTTAGCGAAACTTAGAGTTCACAGTAAAGGAAGGACAAGATCGCGGTCGCGAAGAACTGCTCAAGGGGCGCGATCTTTGCTCTGCCTAGGAAAGGTCTAAAGCACAACTTGTTTAACTTACCGATTTGGGTTGAATGAAAGAGTATTAATGCTAAAAAGCAGGGCAAAAGTAGACAATACTAGCATTGGGATATTGTGATGAATAGTAATAAAGCGGTTGAATAAACTCTAAGTATTCATATTAGAAGTTTATTCTAAACTGAAAAAGTTGCAAAAGGAAAAAGAGATGCAAACCGATGTTGGGGTGCCTACCAACTAGCGTGTCTTTTAGGTCGTTTCACCGGACCGCTGTGTTCAAGTGTTCAGTCCAGCTCAAGACCTCCTTGAAGTTGAGTTTCTCATCGATGAGGTGGTGTCCAAGTCCCGAGCTTTGGATGCTTCGAATGATGTGAATGACCCGTGGACTTGGTAAGGATTATGTCTCCACCCATGAGACCTCTTCTTCTTCTTTTCTTCTCTTTGTCCCATACCATGTAATGCAATCTTGATTGACCATCCTTGAATGTGTGGCCTTGGCTTGGCAAAGAGAAACCGCAAAAGAATCCTTCCCTAAAAGTGTATAAAGGTCGGGTGAAAAGCTCAAGGAGTACGCGTAACTCGTAGAAGCTTCATTCACTTCGACCTTGTCCATTTGTTGGACTCCAATTGCGTCTTCAACCTCCTCTCTTTCTTGTTCATTCATTTCTTCCCCACATTGAATATTAAACTCGTTTTCTTCTTTAAGCTCGTCTTCTACCACAACAAGGCTCTCTTGTGAATCCGCTCTTTGTTGACCGAGAGTTATGATGTGTCTCCAACCAAGTTCTTCAATAGATTGTTGTTCAATGTCCTCTTGCTCACCCACCGTGGAGACTTCTTCCTCTTTCTTCTTCCTCGCTTTCCTCTTCATCTTTATCGTCCAATAGGCGTACTTGTTTGAGTCTCAAACGAATTTATTCGAGCTCTTTTTGCATAGCTTCCCACATCTTGTCCAATTCGCGTTTTTCATTGAGGAACTTTTGAAAGGAAGGGTTGGATATCCCTATAGTCTCCACCTTTTCCTCTTCTACCTTCTCTTCTTTGACGGGTAAGGGTCGATTGTGAGCAAGTTGTGCACATACTTGCCCAACAACCTCTCCTAGTCTCTATGTTTTACGGAGGGTCTCCTCCAATGCCCTTAGAAGAGATGAGTCAACAGGGGTGGTAGTTGAAGATTCCACATTGGAGCTCACTTCGGTATTTTGGATGAATTGTTCCACCAAAAGCTCCAATCGGCTTTTGAGCTCCGATTGTGGAAGGAAGTTTTCGTGACATGATGACGAAGCTTGATAATCGGGGAAGTATTCTGGATAGCCTTAGAGAGGGGTTGGTTCTTCACACTCGGATCCTTGGCTAGAACCACTACTAGAAGCTTCAAGATGACACCATTTTGGATTGTAAAGGGACGAAAAGGGCATATGCAAATGACATTTTGTAAAACCATTAAAGATCATTTTAACACAAAATTGCCTAATAAATGCAAGGTAAATAACACCATTTTGGTGTTATCAAGAGACGACTGATACTGGTGTTTTTTTTTGTGTCACGAAAATTACAAGAGATTAGGTGAGAGACGATAGTGACTTAAACTGAAAAGTCAAAATTGAGTTGGATGGGGGCTTCTAAGTTGTGCAAGAGTGAGGAATGACCAAAAGTTGTGTGCTATATTTTTTTAATTTTTAATTTTTGGTATTTCTCGGTATTTCGGTATATATCGATCCCTATCCCCTAATCTGAAATACCGAATAGCACTCCAAAATTAATCACAATCCCTTAAAAATGAACCGGTATTGAATAATACCAAATAATGATAATTTCGGTACGGTATTCGATATATCTCAAATACTAGTACCAAACTTCCAACCCTAATAGACACCACACTTAATAGGAATTTAGTAAATGTTCCAATCCAAACATATTCCTCCTGTGAAATTCCAGAGCAAAAGAGTTGACGCTGTTTTGGATTACATTTCAGCCCAAAATGAGGTAGAAATGATCTAATAAGATCGTCCGCAAAGCACATGTAGGTAATACTTAGGGGTTTCCATCTAGAAGAGGATTTTATCGAAAATTTTAGGCCTTGTTTGCTTAATGGATTTCATCATGGATTTGGTACATTATCATGGACTTTGTACACAATCCATCATTTGCTTGATGGATTTAGCTGGGATAAATCCGTGTGACCCACAGTTTCTTAGGGTGCAAATCCGTGGACCCCATGGACTTAGAAATTTCACCTCAAAGGGTGGGATTTGTGTCGGTATCTCAAGTCCATGATGCTTATTTACTATTTTTTTCTCATTTTGTTTCTAACAAGAAATAAGGGAAAGTAAGGGTAGATGGGTAAATTCATAATATAATCACAAATATAATTATGCAAAATCCATCATGAAATACATCAAGCAAACAATGGTTTTATCCAAAAACCAAATTGGTTAATTTCATCATAATTTCTTAGTTTAATAAAACCCAAGTTTAGACCAAAACCTTCATTTATCAAATCAATGAAGCAAACCAGTGCTTAATGCATATGCCCCGCTGAGTTAATCTACAAAATACTATAAGGCAATGTCAAAATAAAGACTTCGTCACGTCAGCCTCTAGTGAAAGCGCCGCATAGGCGGAGGGTCTTTCCCGTTACTTCCAATCTCCCACCGAAAAGCGAACGCCTCTCTCTCGCAGCCCTACCAGAAATAAATGTCTCTTACTTTCTGTCCCAACGCAATACGAAAGACCTCCCACTCAATCGAAGATCTCCCATTCTCCGAGCGTCGTCGTCTCTGTATTTCCTGCTCTAGGTCATCGATGTTTTGTTGTCGATCAATGGGAGAATTAGAGAAATCAATCCATGAAAGCAATCACTGGCGCTTATGAGGGGTTCGATTTCCCCTACTCTAAACTCGATTACGTATGCTGGAACGAGATAGTAGAAACAATGCTGGCGGACAATGGAGATTGCGACAACAACTGAACAAAGTGAGATGTGGCAGCGATGATCAACAAATGATTACAATTTTACCTCTCTTACCCCTCCTCTGAGCCGAAAGGAAGGGAAGGAAGGGAGCCACCTTTTCCTGGCACTGCCCTCTTGAGTAGATGCTCCTAGACCTATTTATACACAAAGAAATATCAGAATCAATGAATGCAGTTTTCTCGCTTCATCATCCGAGAGAATTGAAATGATGAATGCATTTTTGTTCTTTTGGTTGCATTTTCTGGTTTTTCAAATCTTAGCATCCGAATCGAGAATACCATTGTATTGCGCAACCAATTTGGTTTTCTAGAGTTTGAAATCCAAGTTCCAATAGAAGCTATGCATGCATCATCATTGTAATGCCATCGAAATGAGCATATTTTTTTTAAGAACAACATATTTTATTGTTTCTTACCCTTACCTAAGTTTGTGTACTGATAAACCATTGATTACACATGTTTTTACCCCTATTTTTGAGCCGTTTGAGATGTTGATTCTCGTGTTTTAAGCCAATTTCACGCTAGGTTGTGCGTTTATGTCATATTTCAGGGCTTAGCATTGGCATCGAGGCGAAGAAACGAGTTTCGGGTCGAAAGGAGCACGTTTGGGTTGAAGTGTGCTGGAGGAGCAAAATACCCAGCCATGAGAAGAAATACCCGGCCGGGTATTATTTGGAGCAGACCGGGGATTTTATGTTTCGGGCGTCTCTAAGAAGCAGAAGGGGGCCCGGGCAATGAGCAGAAATCCCCGGTCGGGGATTCTTGGCCTTGACCAGGGATTTTCCCCTGTTCCCCGACGGTGCGTTCTGATAATACCCGGTCGCTACCCAAAATACCCGATCGGGTATTCAGGCTGGGGATCGGGATAGACAGCTTCTTAAGGAAAAAGAAGGGCAAAAGCGAAGGGTTCCGAGTTTTAGAGAGAAAAAGCGATACCTAGAGAGAGAAAGTGACGAACCTGATTCTGCAAGTGTCCTTGATCGATCTCCATCACCATTGGAGCACGACTTGAGCTTGGAGAAGAGCTGATTGAGTCCCAGAAGCAGATTCTCATCCTTCACAATATGGTTTCCGCATCTGAGCTTGATTTCCCATCTCTCTCTATGGAGCAACTTTTTTATTCACCTGGGTATGAAGAACCCTAGATTTGTATGTTAGGTCTGATTGTATGAACCCAAGTACAGATTCAGTGGTATGATTATGTTCAATTGAGGTTTGATTTGTTGAATGGCATGGATCCTGAT